TGCCACTTAGTGGAAGATGATTATTTCCCTGGGCGTTACCTCATAGGGGTGTGTTGATGTAGTTCTCATAAGACACAGCTAGTTTTCAGAAGAACATGTTGGTCCACAGCAAGACCACATCGTGAGTTTGGCCCTTCTGAGCATGTTAGGCTGCCTTGCCACTGCTCGCCACACTGTGATGTAGCCACTGAATTCTGTGCAGAACATTAGCACCACACTGCTTGGATTCTTCAGCAACTGCCTTGTGAACCAGATAACCTTTGTGACTATGAAGTAGCCAGCCTTAGAAACTGTATTATAGGAATACAAAATAGAATAAGACAATGTATATTTTGAGTATTTAATTTTCTTTGAAGCAACTTTAAATTGTATTTTGTTTATAATTTTGGAGTCTTCATGTTCATTGTTAGTATACAAAAATGATTGATATTTTTGTGTGTTGTTAATCTTGTAACCTGGGATCTTACTGAATTCCTATACAAGTTCATAGATTGTGGGAGGGGTATTATGGTTGTTGTTGCTATTTTGTTTTCTCTCATTTTTTCTAGACACATTTGTAGTATTTTCTGTGTCCTACTGTCTGCCAGTAAAGTTTTATGACTTTTAAACAATATGCCTTGTATTCTTTTTTTCTGCTTTATTGCAGTAGTTAGAACTTCCAATAAAGTTTTTATTCAGATTAGTAGAAGTCGTAGTTGCCTTGTTCCCATTAAGTATAATGTTAGTAGTAGGGCTTTTTTCATCAGTATTTATTGTCAAGTTCTGGTAATTTACCTCCTAATGTTCTGACAGTTTTTATCATAATGTTAGAATTTATCAGTTGCTTTTTCTGTATCAACTGATATGACCCTATGATTTTTCTTTAGCTTGTTGATGGATCTATAATATGGATTGATTTTTAAATATTTAACCAGTCTTGCATACCTAGAATAAATGCCACTTGGTCATACCACATAGTATTTAAATATATTGTTGAAATTGCCCTGCTAGTATTTTATGGGAGTTTTTGTACCTATGTGTACAGTTTTTGTCTTGTTTGCTTTTGGCCCTGTCTTTGGCTTTGTTATCAGGTTATTACTGGCCTTATAAAGTAAATTGAGAAGTGTCCTCATATATTTTCAGGAAGAGATTATGTAAAATCATTCATTTATCTCTCAAACTACCACTTACGGTCTATCCCCACTCCCATGCCCACCTGCAGCTCTGGTGTCCCCCGTCTCAGGCCTGTGGGGACAAACAGGATTCCCCCCCCGACCAACCTTCTGCATCTCTTGTTCTATTTCTGCTTACCTGCCTCTATCTAGTGTGATCCAGGGAGAGGACTGAACCTACCTCATCTGCCTTCTGTCACTCGGTCTGCATGGCTTTCCTCCATTGTGTGTCCAGAAGACATCCTGCCAGTGTGCACTGTTCTCGAGAGCAAGGGTCCCAAACTATACTGTCCCCACTCGCATTTCATAGATCTCTTTTGGTTTCTTTTGCATTGTTTCCAGGGGTGAGAGTTGTGCTTAGTGGAGGGAAGCAGGAAAGATAGACATACACCCTTTTTCCAGATTGGAAGTAATCTCACTTTTAATCACTGAAGTCCAAGGACTGTTTGTTCCCAAAAGGCTTACATTACTTGAATTCTATAGAAGAACAGAACTTAGCATGAAGAGGAGAAAGAACAGGAGACAGAATCATGCATCATTGGAATTAACCTCAGGATGATACAGCACAAATATTCAAAGAGGGAAAAAGGCCAACCATACAAAACAGGAGAAAAAGTCCTTTTCTTTGTAACAGTTGCTGGCCAACTTATCTTTTCTTCATAATAACCTCTCTGCTTTATATTTTTCATGTAAGCAGTTTTTCACATCTAATATTTTGCTATATAGATTGAAAAAATTGTGAAACTTGGGGAGCAGTTACACTCACTGTTCAATCAACCAACAGATTAAAGAAGATGTTAGTGCAAACTTGGACATAGAACATTTCATTATTTGTCAGCTGTAGATTAAATGAGATCAAAGTGGTGAGAAGCAATAACGTGTATTCTTCATAATTATACATTTTAATTGGCATTTATAGAAAAGACATACAGTATTAGTTCCTGAAGACATGGATTTTTTCCTTTCTTGAAGATGAACTATTTATTTCCATATACCCATTACTGATCAGTATCTGCATGTGAAAGTCAAATCAAATTCCATTTATTAAAATTTACTTATTGGATTTTCACTTAAATAGGCCAATATTTATCACTTGTGATTCCTAAGAGAATAGTACATCCTCTGGCTGAGGTGGATTGCTCCAAAATAATAGGGAGCATGATTTTGTGTCTTGAGTTTGGTGTTCCTGAAACCAGTCTAGTTACAATATCAGTGATCATATTTTTAGAATCCTTATTGGTGTATTCTTCATCATCAACTTTTGAGGTTATCAAAATACTTTAGTGATGAATTCATATACCTCAGTGCCTCCATTTCATAGTGAATCAATGTATTTCAGTGCTTCTATTTGCAAGGAATGCCGTAACACAGGGAAATTACTGTGATCAGTTTGCAAAGTTGTACCATGCCAATAATTGTTATAGTACAAAATTCCATGTGAAGCTAGTATAAGGAGTGATATATGCTAAGCTCTCTAATCTTAGGGGGAAATAAAATAACATTTCAGCTGATGCTCCCAAAACTACTAAGAAGCAAACCTAAGTCACTACACAGTCCAACTCAATTTTAAGTAGTAGTCACTGATGAGTATTACTGTCCTTAAGAAAATGCTCATAATAACAATAGTATTTTTGGCTCTAAAAGTAGCACTTTCCCACTCAGAAAATACTGGGATCCACCACAGAAACTTAACTAGAAGTCTTGAAAGGGGGGGAAAAAGGCTTCTGGGTTATGAAAGACCTACAGATTCTTTTAGTCTATATTAAATTAACTCTCATAGAACGTTTCAGAAGTTGTGCTATACTTTTCAGACTAATTTTTGAATCAAATGAATTTATATTTTTAAATGATATCAAAAGCAACACTAACCATTTTGCAAAACGGAAAAGCTATCTAACGTTCACTGTATACTACTTGTCAGTTTCTAAAGTCATGATTAATTGGCTTTTTTATTTATTTGCTTTGATTTTTGAGATGAGGTCTCATTATGTAGTTCAAGCTGGCCTTGAATTCACTGTGTAGCCCAGGGTGGCCTTGAACTCCCTGTGATTCTCCTGCCTTAGCTTCCCCACTGCTGGGATTACAGGTGTATACCACCATACCCAGCTAGTTGGCTTATTTACTTTTTATTTTATTTATTTATTTATTTATTTTGGGGGTTTTTTCCAGTACCGGGAATCGAACTCACAACCTTGGGCTTGCCAGGCAGGCACTGTGCCGCTGAGCTAAATCCCCAGCCCCAAGTTGGCTTATTTACTATAGTTAATATACTCAAATACTATCATAATCAGTAATTATATATATTCAAAAATTAACCTTTGAAGTGCTAGATAATCTAAGATTAATCCAGATGCAATAATCCAGCCTCATATTTTCCTAATGACATTGAGGAAGTCATTGGAAACAAATTACTAGTGTGTGAACTCCTTAAAGCAGGGATCTGGTCTTATTTATCTTTATAGCCTTAGAACTTAGTGTCATATCTAATAATGGTACAGTGAGTGTTTGGTAGACTTTGTTAATTTTTAAAAACTAACAGAAATGCTCACACTCATGTACCAGGCTCTGTGCTAGACCATGAAATTTGTGCATTGGCTAGCAATGTTTTGCTTACAAGAAACAGAAGACCTTATGGTTCATGGCTTAACAAAATCAGCACTATTGCAAAACTCCTCCCTACCCCACATCAAAATGTCACTTTATACATTTTTGGCTGAAATTGGATCACATACTCACAGAATGAAGTGATTTGCCGAACCCATCAAAGCCAACTCTTAGAGCTGGATGGAATTTAATCCTTCCCAAACTGCTACTGGTTGGGTAATATAGAATTTTCTTAAGAAACAAGCAAGAGAACTGAATCCTTGGTATGCAACCAGCATACATCCAAAGGTAATGTTAGGTCCTACTAGGCACAGAGTTCCACTTGTCCGAGGTGGAAAGTGGCTTAAAACTAGATACTCTAAAACTAGTGTTCTTTCCACATTAAATTATGTTGTAAAATCTACCAGTGGTTAAGTTAGAATCTGGAATATTTCAAAAGGCCAATTTGTTCAAGTTCTGGTCCCCCAGCTTGATGCTATTGGGAGATCGTGGAAGTTTTAAGAGGTGAGGCCTAGTGTGAAGTCTCCTGATCATTATCCTAGAAGGGGAACCAGGGACCCCGTCTCTTTCTCTTCATCTCTATTTTTTGCTTCCTGGTCATGAGAGGAGTGACTTGGCTCTACCGTGTCCTTTTTTTTTTTTTTTTTGAGACACGAGTATCACCATGTAGTTAAGGCAAACCTTGAACTCACTGTGTAGCCCAGGCTGGCCTCAAATTTGTGGCAATCCTCCTGCCTCAGCCTCCCAAGTGCTGGGATTACAGGTGTGCACCACCACATCTGGCTTTTACCATGTCCTCTTGTCATAATGTGTTGCTAAAGACCCAAACAACTGCACCAACAGATCATAGGCTCCAATCTCTAAAAATGCTTATCAGTTGAGTGTTTATTTTAATGACAGAAAGCTGACTAACATAACTAGATATTATAAACCATTATCCTTCTCCTAATTTTAGAAAACTAAAAGTTTCATCCTAGAGAAAAAAATGTGGCTTAAATAAAATATCTTCTCTTCCCTGTGTCTTCACTGTGACCATTGTTCCCACCACCCTTACTCCCACATTCTCTAGCCCGTTGCAACCCTTCCCATCTTGCCTACACCAGCCCACTGCTCTCATATTCTGTGGCACTGGCCCACGCTCCAAAATGATCTCTTCTTTATTCTCATTCTAATCCCCATTCATTTAAGTGTTAAATAAAGTAATTCTCATTAATAAAATTGTAATGCATTACCTCTCCTAGGAATACTTGCAACTTGTATCATGATACTTGCTGGACACAACCCCATATGCTTTATTACCCCCAGCAGTCTCTCCAATAGGAATTTCCAGCAAAGGGCATACTAAAAGGTGAGTACTGTGATTTGTGTGTCCTCCAGAAGTTCTAGTGTGGACATCTTAATTCCTCAGTGTAACAGTGCTGGGAAATGGGCTTTGTAGGAAAGTCTGCGTCAGTGGAGCAGAATCTTCACATATGCTCAAATCCTTTCTCGTGTGTTCTTGCTCTCACAAGACTGGATTAGTTACTTCAAAAGCAGGGTGATACAAAGTAGGTCCACCTCTGTGTTATCTCTCTTACATGCATCTGCTTCCTTCTGCCTTCTGCCGGGAACTGAAGCAGCACAAGGACACTATAAGAAGCCAAATACACACCAAAACTGTGCTCTTGGACTCCTGCAGCTTCCAGAATAGTGAGCCAAAACAGGTGCATTTCTTTATAAATTACTCAATCATAGATATTTTGTTGTAGAGACAGAAAATGGACTAAAACAGTACATAAGAATTTTATTGCAGACTAACCTATCCTGATCCCAGGATAAAACTCTGAAAATCCCAGGACTGTCCTTATTGCACCCATGAATATGTGACTTTCCCTACTCCATTTTTATACTTAAAACTTTGAGCTACTTTTTATATTTAAAAGTTGGTATCTGATTAATATTTTTATGTGACAGTTGTTTAATTTTCAGATTATTCTTCCTCCGCTACACTTATAAAATTATCCTCACTTGAAAATGATTTAGAGCTGGGCATGGTGGCTCACATCTGTAATCCCAGCACTCACGAGGCTGAGGCAGGAGGACTGCCACAAGTGTGATGCTAGCCTGGGCTACATAGTGAGTTCATTGCCAGCCTGAACTACATAATGAGACCCTGTCTCAAAAAACAAACAAAACAAAACAAAATTTACAGAATTCAAACTGCTTTTGAATGTGATTGTACCACCACCCTCCCCCACCCAAAAAAAAGAACTGTGTCTCACTTTTGACTTATGGCCTTTAAAAACACAAGAACTAAAAATGGAAGAAAAATTAAGTACTGCATGGCTAAAATATCTAAAAATTCATTATTTTTAAGAAAGACAAAATTTGGGATTTATACATCATAATGGCTAATGGATTTTTTCCTTGTAGAAAACCAAACCCAGTTGAAGTCTGAATTCAAGAAACTGTGAATTGAGTGCTACAGAGCTGGCTGAAGCAAAAGTTAAAATATACTACCAGTCTGTGTCTGGTCAGCCCTCGTGTGGACTAGTAAGAGCCAGACACTCGGTTGCTCAGCACTCTTAAGCCAATATTAGGTTGTGGGCTCCAAGTAACTGACCGTGTTACTGCATGCAAAGTGTATAAGGTCTATAAGCTTCACCTATCTTCCCTGCTTAGCAGTCACAAACATTTGCTGCTTTCATAGGAGACAGTCCTTCCCACCCACCACCCAAGCAGAGAAATGCTGTTCTTTCAATATTCTGAGCACTCAGCCACTACAGAGTCAGCCCCGCACAGTAACTGTTAAAGTGCTTATTCTGTCCACCTTAGACTCTCATGTATTAAATTCTGTTTCTTTATAATTGAAGCAACACTGTATATATTTATAGGCTTTTTTCTAAATTGGATTTAGGAAGTCTTTTGGTGATCTTTGTCTTATAATAATGTCACTATTGTTGAAATTTTCAGTAATTTTCATTGTTGGCAGGATGAGATTTCTTTAAAAAAAAAAATGGTACTATAAAAACCAGGGAATTTTAAATGTGGGTAGAAATTCACTTGGAAATATCCATTTAAGCTGAAGTGAACCAACTGATGAGTGTGATTCTGTCAGCCAACATTTGTAGAACATTCCCCGCACTCATAATGTGATAGCACACTGGGGTGGAGAGTGGGGAGTGCGTGGGGGCTGCAGTCGGTAAGAACTCTGCTCCCTGTTGCAGGCTGCACGTGGAGTATTCCCTCCACCCACTCGCACACAGACAAGGCCAGTCTGAAATAACGTTAGAATCAGGGAGTAGAAAGTGACAGATTATCTTACTAGCAGAAGCTCAGAGACTGGCTAAGCGTTTTTACATTTACACAGAAAGACAATCTAACACCAGTATATCTTTCTATGAATCATGTGTTCAAGTTTGATTTGATTTTAGAATCAAAGCAGCAACCTTAGCTGGATTCATTTCACAGATAATATTTAAATGCTATTTTTTAAGTCAGAGATTTTTTTTAAAGAAAGGTCATATGAATGTAAGGTTGCCTCTGTACCTTCTGTGAAACTAACATTTATTGAACATCTACTGTGTGCCAGTCATAGTGCTGAGTAGAGGAAGATAAGATAAAGACAAGAAAGTGCCTTACAGTTAAAAAGCTCTATCTAATGTGAAGGAAGTTATTTGAACAAATAATAAACATCTAGCATAACAAATTATATAGGTAGAAGTACATTCCAGGAAGTGCTAACCAACAAAGAAGATAACTGTATTGGCTGGAATAGACATTGGTTGGGGGGTAATTAAATGGCACCAATGTTCTAGTGGTTTGATATGGATGAGTAGGATACATTTAGCCCTCTGTGGTAACTTGTAACTCAGCAGTGTGGATCATGAGTCCTCATTGTAAAAAACCCTATGTATATTCTTCTTCCTTACAATCAAGACCCCTTGGTATCTGCTGAGCTCTACTCTAAAACGAACTTTGTATTCAGTTGAGAAGGACTTAAGAACCTCTGATTCATCTACCATACAGCATCCCACCTACGAGATTGGTCAAGGTGGCCATGGCTAGCAGGCATAAGAAGAAAAGCAGGGTACTAGACATGTGGAGACCCTGAGAACAGTCAGATAAATAAAGTACATTTATATCTATAGAGTATTCATTACATTGTCATCTAACTTATAAGATTTTAATTGAGGCTCAATAGGAATAGCAACCTATCCAAGATCACACAGGTAGTGTTAGAGCTGAGATTTTAACATAATTTTCCTTACTTCACAGGTAAGAGAAGCCTACTCTAAACAGTCAGGTGGAGAGTTATTTTAAGAGAGAATGGGATTTCATCCTGTTTCCTAACCTGGGTGGCGAGTACATTGGACATCATTATTTTACATTTCTTTAAATCTTACATATAATATCATTAGGATATCTATTCAGTATTTACTAAAATGTTTAAGGAATACAGTGAAGTGGGAATACTGAATAAGGAGAACAGTATAAAGAAATGTTTCTGAATTTTAAAAAGAGAGAAAAAATTGGCAGACGATCAGTTGGCATCAGCAGCATCCCACCAGGAATATTGAAAGTATGCTCATAGAAGAAGCGTGGTGCTAGGAAATCCAGAATCAATCAGGCGTAGCACCTTAGGGAAGTTCAATGTAGGAAACAGGACACCAGGCACATACTGGATGTTCAGGAAAGCACCCAAACCTCTGGTAGGAATGAGGGAGTAGAAAGAAACAAAGGAAGTACTACTCCAGCTCAGATCCAGGAAATAAGAAAAGTTTCTGGTCACCAGTACGGAGGAGATTGTATCTGAAGAACAGAGCAGAATGTATGCTAGAACTAAACCAAGAGGCATAGCCTAATCAAAGTGAGAGCTCCTCAGTGCACTAGAGCAGCTGAACTAGAGTTTTTACATGCTTTCTAGGAGGCGAGTCTGTAATAGAAAGGATTGGGAAAGGGCCGAATAGTGTCAAGAGTATATAACAAAGGAGGGAGGAGAAGGGACTGTCTATGACCCAAGACTTGAGATGTCTGGATAAGAATATTTTTGTATTATTTCTTCTACCCATCAACTAGTAGTAGCTAATTTGTCAGCTTCTCTCTGAGCCTTTTCCCCATCTTCCAAGAATATGGGGAATCGTGTATGTCAACATGTCTTGCCAATGTTAAGTCCCGGATGCTAGCTAAATCAGTTGTACTCTCTCTTCCAGAACTGGAATTCAAAAGAAGGGATGGAAAATATTTGATGTTGTTTCATGTCTGAGTCTAGACCTCAGATTGCCAAACTGATCTAGTTCCTGTGCTTTCTGAAGACTGGATCTTCAGTATTTCCAGGATTCTGGAAATATCCATGTCCTTACAGTGTATTGTTTCCTTCATTTAGATTAGCTGAGCTCATTTCTGTTGCTTGCAACCAAAGCGTTCTTAGTGACTCAGTATTCAAATGACAGCAAGATTTCAGTTCTTTCAAAGTCAGCCTTCCAAAGGTAGTCAGAATCAATCTCCCAAGTCTGCAATTTGTGGAGCCCTAAAAAGCTGCCCTCTATCTGCAGAAGCCTATTTCTCCAGAACCTACAGAGTCAAACCCGACCTAGTCTCCTTCCATCCCCCTCCCGTTCTCTATTCTGATCGCTAATGAATACATTTTCTTAAGCTTCAAAGTACTTATAACTTAGCTCTCTGTGATTTCTGTAAAATTTAAAAATTCATGTTTAGTGTCTGAAAGAAATGTCAGGTCTAAAATAAATACACTATCATGAAAAGAAAGTATTGTGTTTTGCTTTTCTGTAAGAATTTTTTCAGTTTATGTCTTATATTGAGGTACTACTTTGAAGATAATGATATCAGGCATATTAGCTATTGTTATTCTCTTATTATTTTGTTATGAAATTTCATTCTATTTTTTCACAAAATAAACAACACTAAAGAAATTAAAATTTTTAACGTTGAAATCGAGTAAAAGTAGTGTGGACAGGTATATATTTTTACTTTAAATTAAATCAAGCTAAGCATAACCACTTTTTACTAGAGATGTGACTCACCAAAATGATACTTTTCCTTGTTCAACAACTAAAGAGGGAAAGAAACAATTTTAGTTCAAGGTTGAAAGATTTCTTAAAAGAACACTATTTGCAAATGTATAGACTTGAAAGGCATGAAGATTTTTTGCTAGATCTTTGATTCAATCTTAACATATTTCATTATAAAAACTCAGAAATCCATAAATGGAGAAGATAGAATACTGGTTCTTAAACTACAAAGAGGTAACTGAAGTTATTTTCATAGGCTTTTTCACTAGCAATCAATATGGTATTGATTTTCTATTCTTGTTTCTCTTGCAGTAATGTCCTTGGCTTGAAATTCAACCTAAGTTCGGAAATAGTAGCAAATAGAACAATTCCAGTCTGTGGACATGAAAAGAGAAAATAGTGAAAACCTAGATATTCTTCAGATGTGAAAATAACTGTCTGCTCTCAGTTACTTCTTATGATCAGAAGATAGCACCAAAGCAGCCCAAGTTAGGAGCAGACCTAGTGCAAATTTCTAGGCTTTATGCCATTCCATAGCTAAAGTCTAGACCTGTATATTAGATAGGCAGGAGCACCTTTAATCATGGGGAGGGCTGGGCGAGTGTATCTGGGTCTGGATGGACTCATCTCATCCCTGCTACAAAATCTACTCAAAGGCCCTCCCCCCCGACTATGAATCAATAGCATTATCTGAGTACATGAGGAAAAGCAGAATCTCATTCAAATTTAAGAGGAATTGATCAAGTTGGGAAATTTTAACTTATTGTACATTAAAGTAGAGGCTATCATAGAAGCCCTGGGAAAATCCATTCCAGAATGAAATATAAAATTATACATGTTAAGAGGCCTATGTTGAGCAATTTATAGATAAAGATCAAAGATCAAATTTTCAACTGGGAAAACTGGATTCTAAATAAAGAAACTTCAAATTGCACTTTTATTTGATAAGTACAATAGGAATAACTTTGAAAAAACTCCAGTAGAAATGACTTCCAAAGAACAAATCTATGCTTTCACAACTTTGTAGAACTGTTTTCCATTGTCATTAATCAAATCCAAGACACACAAAAAGCAAACATGGCAGAGGGTGAACTGTGTTTACCTTGAAGTCACATGGTGGTTGTAAGACTGCTGCTTTTTGATATTTCTTTTCTTTAGCATCTTTTTAAACATATTTTTCTGGGGTTCATTTATTGTCTGACAGGTCCAAAAGAAAGCCACAGTTATTTGATATCAAAAGTAGTAAAATGGGTCATTTAAGTAATTTTTTTTGGTACCAGGAATCAAACTCAGGACCTTACACTTGCCAGGCAGGCACTGTGCCACTGTTCTATATCCCTGGCCCCATTTAAGCAATTTTTAAAAGACAGTTTAAAGTTGTAATACAAAAATACTGGTTTTCTGGAGTGCAACATTTGGGCCATGGGTAGCACTCCTGTTCACAAAGAAAAACCTCTTGCAGTCACCTAGGAAATGAATACCTTGTTGCAACTAATATAGATTTCCATGATGCCAAGGGCCTAAAATTCAATTTGGCATGTGAAAAGTACAGTTAATCTCATTAGAGTGCAAGCGCCATGATCACAGCCATACTGAAATCTGCAGCCACCACACTGGTAATTCCCTTTATCCCAGAATACTTTGTAAGCTCCTCTTTCTAGAATCTTTTACACTGATGATGCAATGATTTCCTGAACTACACCTACACAAACTTGCTCTGCCAAACCATGGAATAAGCCTAATAGATCTTCTCCCTTTACCCACTTCTCTTGCAAGCAAGAAAAACAAAAACAATAGCAAAAAATCATCTTAAAGATTGTAAACATATAAAT